TATACATACATACATACATATATACATATATACACAAATGCATATATATTTATTTATATATATTTCAATGTATATCTATATATAGTAACACTCCTTTCATTCGTACATCCGTTAAAGCTTAGTAGTACACATATCCCTGTTGTACTTCAAAACACATCAAGTCCTCTATACATTAGAGTGTTATTTTTGTTCCATGATGGGACGTACCTGACTCTAAGGGGGTGGGCGTAGATTGAACTGAACGCCTCCCCCCTATCAATTCATATTAACACAACCTCTATGTAACTGTCAGCGTATCTACATATATACCATTCACATCCGGTCCAATACAGTAGAACATATATTCATATTGTACATCACAACACCTTATACCATCGATTTATCAATACAGTAGAACATATGTTCATATTGTACATCACAACACCTTGTACCATCGATTTATCAATACAGTAGAACATATGTTCATATTGTACATCACATCACCTTTTACCATTGATTTATCAGAGAGCGCCAGAGGCCGCCTGGTGGGACTTGCCTGGTATCAAGGGAGGTGCGCAGGTTAAGTTGGGGGCCAGGTTCTTAAGCCTGTCCAAGAATAAAGAACAAATCAAGGCTATACGAGAGGTATGTCGTAAAATACCAGACTATACGAGAGGGATGTATGTTGTAGAAGTATCAGTCTGTACGAGATGCATGTCGTGAAATATCAGTCTATACGAGAACAGTCTATACGAGATGTATGTCGTAAAATATCAGTCTATACGAGAGGTATGTCGTAAAATATCGGTCTATACGAGAGGTATGTATGTCATAACATAACATGTCTATACGGGAGATAAGTCGTAGAATATCAGTCTATACGAGAGGTATGACGTAAAATATCAGTATACACGAGAGGTATGACGTAAAATATCAGTCGATACGAGAGGTATGTCGTAAAATATCAGTCTATACGAGAAGTATGTCGTAAAATATCAGTATATTCGAGATGTATGTCATAATAGTCGAGTTGTAGGGTAGAATTAAGGAAGTATAAAATATTTCCGACAACAACTGAGCATCACTTGATATTGATGTTTTTGCGTGAATCCCCAGTCTTCAGTACGTATTTTACAAGTTGGTGCATATTTTTATATCAGTTGCATATAATACTTACAAAAACCCATTTTACAATGCGTTTTACGTTTAAAGGCGGGCAGCAGTACGGATCACTGCGTGGCCGTGGTGGCGGTGCTCATCTCCAAGGCAACGGGACTTAAGTGCGGAAAAACCGTTTACGTGAAAGTATCATCGTCTGAATTCGAAGCGCAGACCTTCATCGCATCGGAGAGTAAGTATACCTACATGAAGTATGCCGTAGAACTTACGGACAGTAATTATACTTACATTAGGCATGTTAGTTAGTATGTATGCGATAGATCTTACGGAGAGTAAGTATGTTTACATGTAGAATGCTCTAGAACTTATGGACAGTAATTATACTTACATTCGGCATGTTAGTTAGTATTTATGCTATAGATCTTACGGAGAGGAAGTATGTTTACATGTAGAATGCTCTAGAACTTATGGGCAGTAATTATACTTACATTAGGCATGTTAGGTAGTATGTATGCTATAGATCTTACGGAGAGTAAGTATGTTTACATGTAGAATGTTAGTATATTATATGCCCTATGCCTTGTCGTCGGGTGTGTTTATACACTGTTATTCTCAGTAGCATAACGAGTCTGAGCATAGAGCAGATGCTACGGACTCGCTAAGAATGACTCTCTGTGTATCTACGTATTGTTTACAATTAATCAGTTGTATTTGAAAGTGTTCTTCTTTTTAAGCCTGCATTCTGTCGCGTGGATGTCAGGGTTTAGGGATATACGCAAGTAGGTACGTACTGGAGGAGAATATGGTCTCTGTACACTCACATGATTACCACGTTTATTGCATTTGGTATATATATATATATATATATATATATTACAATAGTAAATAACGT